CGTCGTGTAACGAAGATAACCATTCATGTCCATATGTCAAGTCAGTTTTACCTTTAGACCAGTCTTGCGCCCTCATTTCTTCCATCCAAAGATGCTTGTGTAGTGGTGTAATTGTGGGGTTAGAATGGGAAAAATATTTACACACGTCTAATTTATGAAAGACAATTTCATAAGTTGATGGAATGATAATTCAATAGGAACGGGAATTCTTAAGTTAAAAAACCAAACTAAACAATTAAAAAGACCTCTCCAAGTAATGGCCTTCCATTCCCATATCTATTACTCCCAATCAAACGTCACTATGCTTTATAAAATAAGTATATGTACATCAGAGCAAAAAAAATAAAAATAAATAAATTAGTATATGTATGCCATAACACCCTCTCATCGTTGATGTAGATTAATTTTGTCGAGTGCTGGTCAATTATTGATCTTAGGTCCCATATTGGATAATTATTGTTCAGGTGTTGTTTATTTATTTTTCAGTTTTGCTTGTCAAATCATGAATACTCGGCAAACAAATTAAGAGACAAATCAGGATTGACCAAAATGAGACAATTAACCAGATTTTACTAAATTGAAAGCACTATAAGGCCTCATTAATTTCACCGATATAAATTTTCAATTTTAGATTTTTACAGTTAAAAATGTCGCATCTAATTTTTTCTTATACAGTTAAAAACTCTAAAAAAATATTACATTTCAACTTAAATTGAAAACTCAAATTCGCAAATCGAACGATGCCTTAATCCATTGCATTTTGACCTGGCAATTTACAGACCAAAACATTTATTTTAGGTATGCTAAGGATCCCAAAGTTAACCTGTGAACAGTATCTGAATATAATTTGATTTATTTTGCAGACCATTTTAGGAAAATTGTGTGCCTGCCCCCTCCGATCCCATCTCTTCTTTACATCTCATTTCAAAACAAAGAAAAGAAAGCTGTAACCCTATCACATAGTTTTAGTTTACAGATAAAGTTGGTGAGAAGGAAATCCTTTCGACATAAATAAAATACGTGACTAACAAAAACTACGAATACTGATTACTGTGCATCTTTTGCTTCGGCTACTGGTTCAATTGCATGAGAAGGAACGAGAGATCATCTTCGCGACCCAAACCCTTTTCTTTTACCATCCTTAGTTGTATGCAAAAACAGAATGGAGCTTCTAAAAACTAACATTTTCTAATCTCCATAAGCATTCTTTCCTGAGTGGAGAATCTGCAAATATGGCCTTGACAAAATCTTGAACCTGAAGAAAAGAAGAAGAAACACAATTAAAAGAAAACCAAAAGAATATGAAATGCTACAAGGATGAGAAAATGGTGAACATCTTAAGATATTTTATCAAAAGAGAGTTCAGTCCCTAATGAAGTTAATTTGGTTCTACATTGGATAGTCTCAGATTTATAGCTGAGCTTTCTACAATAAGACACGCAACGGTTTTTTGTTCCATCCATCTTCTGATCTTTTACAACTAAAATTGATTACTGATAACTAACTGAAAATATTTTTAGAAAAAGTTACGGAACAGCAAACTAAGTTTTAAATTAATTTTTCCTAAAACAGAAAATGAAGACAAGGAAAAAAAGAAAAAAGAATTTTGTTTTGTTTTTCGTTTGGTTTTGTTTTTGATTTTTTGATTTTTGTGTTTTTGTTTTTGTTTTTTTTGTTTTGTTTTGTTTTTTTTTTTTTGTATTGTTTTTTTAAACGTATGTGCTCAAGGGCAGTTCATACCTCTTTTACTGTAAAACCACTCCTGAGCAAATCTCCGCTTTCCCAAGCTGCAGTAACTGATTTTAGAGGCATATCTAACAATTCTGAAAGGAAAAACAAAAAGAGGCAAGGAAGATGGATATTAGGTTTTAGTTGCAGAGCATTTCCAGTTGTCTACCAATTAAAAATAAATTATCATCATTATGAAGACCTGCCTGCCACTTTACGTATCTTCACCAACGATGGTATGAGATCATCAAGTGTTTGAGCTGTACTCTCTGGTGAATTCTCCGTTTGACGGTGAACCGCTAGTGATTCCAATAGAGAAGATAGGTTTTCCAGCATCAGTTGAATTAGTCTTTGGAGCTATGGACATAATAAGAAAAAATCAGATCACATCAAATTCAAAAGCATTAAAACAAAAAAAACAAAAAAATTGAAGCATAAGCATCAAAATTGGAATAAATAACTTTGTTAATTGATAGGTACCTGTAATGTTTCTTCGGCTGCCATATCATCTATAAGCAGTATGTCTCTTGTAATTCTAGAAAAAACTGACTCTAGAACCATACACATGCTTCTCCTGTAAGTCGAAGCCATTAACAGTGGTTCCCATACGATATGTACTTTCTCTAGAATGAAAACAACCTGATCAACATATATGCAGCCAATGATTAGCAGTCACTGAGAAACAATAATGGCAATTGCAAGAACGACCCAAATAATAGACACAACGCTCAAATAAAGCATCGCTACCTGATCAATGCTAAATTTTGCAGATTCGTATTCTTGCTTCAAATGGGTATTCTGAAATCCATCTGCACTATCTATCGCCTAACAACCAATGGATTTGTCAGTGGCATAGACAGAAAATTTCAAACTTAGACTAGCTGATTGGTTAAAGAACATCGGTCCAATAATATGACTGCACCTCTTTCAAATTGTAGATAACCAGTTGAATTTGCCTCTGCAGCATCTCCTCTGCCATTAATTGAAATCTTGGAGCTAAATCCACAAATATAGCATGTTCCTTGATGGAACTTTGGAAATCTGGGCGATACTGAAAAAAAAAAAAAAATTTTGAATAAGCTCAAACTTTGCATCAAAATTGATAGAAATATCCAAATGTAAAATTCCAAAAGATAGTTAATGCAGCACTATATAAGGATCTTTATGTCAACTAGGAGAAAAGAATTCTGGAAGATGAAAGTATCAAATCCCCGTTCCATGAAGCGGATTCCTTGCATATTATGTGTGCTATGGGGAGTCGGGAAATATGAGTGCTGTAGGAAGATAACAGGTCGGAAAAGAAAGATCTATGTGTCTGTGTGTGCAGGTGTGTGAGTGTGCACAGTATGCAATTGTCCTTAAAGCATACCTCATATGCAAGCCCAAGTATCTCCTGAGATAGATAAAGGCAATCATTATGCATGAGAATGGCTGCATGGTTGACGCCTTCAAGCTGCCTTTCTAGCTTCAGAAGAGAAACAGGAAGGTTACCACAAAATGAAGAAGAGTTTACATATACCAATAAATAACGAAAAATGAACCAAAGATATACATCAAAGTATTTATAAGCTCTGATTATGTTAAAAGAACTGAAATTTTCAGGCGAAGCTACAAACTGAACAAATATCTTAAGTTGAAAAAGAACCAGAAAAAAAAAAGAAAAAGAAAAAAGAAAGAAAGAGAGTACAAAACTAAAATTTGACATTAGATTTGTGATTTCCGTATACACATATGAAAAGCTTAGTAATCCAGAATTAACAAATGACCTCAATTTCTATCTTTCCAGTAATGAGACTTTTATAAATGTATTAATACAGATGAGGCTATCTTCAAACAAACCCTTTTTTTTTTTTTTTGGTTGCATAAGAAACGAAACTTAAATTAAAACCAGTACAATAGAAGAGATCAAGAGAATATGGAATCATCAGAATAACAAAAGAAAGAAAACAAAGAACAAACTGAACCCCAGAGATAAGCAAAAAACTTAACCCCAAAACCATAGAAAAAGCCTAACAACCATAGCACCTCTCCAATTCAATATATAGACATATATTACTCTTTAGTAGTATATTGAAATATATATATATATATATATATTTGTTCAATTTTCATTCAAGCAAAAGGAAGAGGAAGTGAATGCTTTCAAATTACCAATGTTTTCTTCTCTGGACTTTTTATGTTGTTTAGGTAAAATCCTTTAAAATACAATCTTAGTAACGTATTTCACTCATTGAGTACCCATGCAATTCCCAATTCAATATATATAAATATACATATATATATATACACACACACACACACACATATATATATATATCCATATGTTTCCAAGTACAAGTACTTCGCTTTTTCAAAAAGGGAATCAACTATCTTCAAACAAACTTATGTGAACGTCTACAAGCAGAAGGAAAAGCAAGTGAATGCTTTGAAATTACCAATGTATTCTTCTCTGGATTTTTTATGTTGCTTAGGTAAAATCCTTTAAAATAGTAGTCATAGTAACATATTGCGGTGATTAAGTGCCTATTGTACTCCATATTGTCTCAGAACATCTAACGTTCTGGAACATCTAATGAGAGATCTTTGGAAACGTTCTCAGAAGATATCAACGTGAAAAATATCATTTTGGAACAGAACAGAACTTTGAAATCCAACCTTTCCAAAGTAGGCTCAAATATTTGTTACACATAGCAAATTCATATGCAAGCACACATACTCCTCGCGACCATCCTCCAAAGTGAAAAATATAACTTTTGGCAGGGAAGCATTGCTTATGCCACTATGTTCCAAGAACTAACCTTGACGGGAATGACAACTTCATAAAGAAGTAAAATGTCCCTGACAGCATGATAGAATTCCAAAGCAACTCTGGAGGATGACAGGCAAACATCCTGTACGTAAAAAGAATCAGAGAAACCTTTAAGTATAGCTGCATTCAAAACAATATCGGATCATGATATTATTTGCCAACAGAATCCAATAAGGTTAGTTCGACATTCTCACCTTAAGCGTCTGATGCACAAGCTCCATCAGTTGAAGAGCTGCTTTTGATACCACACACCTCTCTGACAGAAACAACAAGTGAACAACATGTTCGGACTTGTTTAAGGCCATCTTATCATTCTTGGTATACTCCTGCAGAGAATTCCGTTATTCTAAAGCTAAAAAAGAAATAACTACAAAAGTATCAAAATATCAATGCCGCTGGCTGATACTAGATACTCACCTTAGGAATTATAAAATCACATTGAAGAAGCAATTTCCTAGCATTTGCCAAGATTTCCATCTTCTTCTTAGATGCAAAGTGAACCTCAACATTTTCTGCGAAATCGCTTAATCTGTTACCCTTGTCATCAGATGTTGAAATATATGTTATTTCCTTCAAAGCAGCCTCAAATTCAGACGTGCGTTCAATGATCTTCTCAAAGTCGGCAAGTTTTGACGCATCTTGTGGCACAACCTGAAACAAGAAAACAAGCTTAGGGTATTCAACCCAAGAAACATGCATGACAAGAATGAACATCTCTACTCCATGTTAAAAATAACCACTCAAAGATCATAAGTTACACGCTTACAATGCTATTGTACACTGACAAGACATCTAAAAACAAAATTTATCTTTTTTTTTTTTTAAAAAAAAAAAGGTAAACTATCCAAGATAACCAGATGTCCAGAATAATGATCCCATATTGTACAAAAAAAGAAAAATAAAAAATAAGATAACAGTCCATGTGGCTAAAGTGAAAACCAACCAACCCACAGAACGCATACATATGCTGCACATATAGTGACTAACAAACTTGGTGTAAAAGAACGGCAGTGATCTAAACATTCCATTAGCTCCTGCAACTTTGCATGCCTCAAGAATGAAACGCTAGTACAACAAAACAGTAGCTGACACAAAGGTATCATAATGGAATACTATTAAACAACAATGCAGGGATCAATTATAAAATATATATCAATGCTGTTAAACACAAATATTCACAAGTGGTTAAAGTGAAAACCAACCAACCCACAGAACGCATACATATGCTGCACATATAGTGACTAACAAACTTAGTGTAAAAGAACAGCAGTGATCTAATCATTCCATTAGCTTCTGCAACTTTGCATGCCTCAAGAATGGAACGCTATTACAACAAAACAGTAGCTGACACAAAGGTATCATAATGGAATACTATTAAACAACAATGGAGGGATCAATTATAACGCTATTAAACACAAATATTCACAAGTACAGATTGATATATCCTTTAGAGGAGGGTAAACAAACTCTCACTTTAGTTCCGAGAATAGAAGACCAAACCTTTGAAAGAAAATTAGAAATAATCAAATCTGAAATCCTTGGCCATGTCAATCTTCCGAAACTTCGTATCCAAGAACCGTTTTCCAAGCATATGCGTTTGTAGACAAACCTGATTATCTGAATAATCCCTGAATAAATAGTCTCACCCTCATTCTCAGCCTGAAGATTGAAGAAAATGTTTCACAACATTCAGTACAGTACCCACTACAACAAGAATGTTTATAAAACTATTGTCAGAGATCAACTAACAGAACCATTTTTGGTACCAACCACAACCAAAATGTTAACAAAACCATTGCTATAGATCAACTAGCAGAATCACTTTTGGTACCCACCACAATCAAAAAAATTACTGAACCATTGTTACAGATCAACTAGCAGAATCATTTTTGGTTCAAGTTTTCATCAATTTCTTAAGAATTTATTGGACCATTGTCCACAGAATCATTTTTGTTTGTAAAACCATTTATATAATTTATAAAAACCAATTTCAAGCAACAATTTTCTTCCGCACATTACACGTTCTACTCATATCATCTCTTAAGAGTATTGTTAAAATAGAATAAGCAATCAATCAAAACTTTGAAACAGCATTGCATAATCTACCTTTGGCTCACGTAATGGAACTATCTTTAACATGGCTCCAGTCATTACTTCAGCGTCCTGGACAAATTCTTCCACAAATGATACAGGGGATCCATAATTCACAGCCAAAGGCACGGCATTCTTGATCATCAAATCAGCTACTTTCGCTAGCCCATAATCCAAAATGCCAACCGCCTAACCAAAAAAGAAACTCAGAAGTAAATTCACTACTGAAACATAACGTGATCGTCACTTAGCCATTTGAATTTCTGCCACCATTATAGTCTCCTTTACTGAATTCAATAATTTCATGGCTTAATCCATTTGTACAAATTGATTCCCTTTATATTTTAACATGCGACAACCTACTTGAGGAAACATGAAAAGCTGCATTGAATTTAAGCAAAGGAATACAAGGCAATAATGTTAACGTACATCTAAAGCCATTAAAACTGTACGAAGCTCGATCCTGTCAATTCCAGCGTTGCCCAATACGTATTTAACTCGAATTACATTCGATTCGCGATCGAATTGCACCGCATTTGCCATGAACTTCAAAAGCGCCTCTTGAATCTACAAACCGAAATGGAATTCCTCTAAAAAACACAATCAGAAGTTCAAATAAAAATCACCAAAAGTTGATCAAACAAATTGATTCAACACAACAAGCTTTCTCGGCAAACAAACAGAAATTCATTTTCTTACCTCCTCGAAGCAATCGGACCCCTCTTTCCTCAACAAGCCGTACACCACCGGCTCTTTCTCATTCACGCGATCATCATTATCGGAAGTTCCAAGAGCCATCTTCAGTTCCCTCAGTTCGTCGGCGGCAAATCTCAGCCGTCCGTTCCTCAGGGCCTCTCTCGCCGAACTAAGCCTCTCGCTTAATTCCACAATTACCCTCACCAACTCCAACAATTCACGCTTCGCCCTCACCTCCCTCATCTTCCCGTTCATCTCCTTAACGATGTCCGAGATCTCGGCGTCGATCGGACGGTCGGAGACGGCGCTGAGGAGTTCGGAGACGTTGTCGGAGATCTTGCCGGAGCGCGAAACGGCGTCGTTGCAGAGAGAGAAGACGTTTGAGAACTCGTGGTGGTGAGAAACAAGGTAGGATTGGATTTTGGACTTGATCTGGAGGGAGTGAGATTCGAGGCGCTGGATTAGGAGGCGGAGATCGGGTGCGGAGAGGGGAGTTGTGGGATCGCTGAGGTCGGTGGCGGAGAGGAGGTCCCGGACGTTGATTGAGTCGAAGAGAGCGTCCATTTTTTCGGCGTGGGTGAATCCGACGGCTCTGGTGCGCCGGAGGAGATGAAGATGATGGAGACAGGTTTTCCCGACGGAGTGTTCTTACGCGGTGAGACGGAAGTGTGGTTTTACACTTTTATTACGCCATAGGGGTAGAGTTGGAATTTGGGAAGGAGCAAAAGTAATGGGAAAAGGGCACAAATGGTATAAAATTTGCCTCCGAGCTTATACACCAAATTGACGGAACATGTTTACAAATTGATGTTTCATTAAAAAAGAAAATATCAAAGTTGCAGCAAAATCAGCTTGAGGTGGATTTGATATGACCCGTTTATTTTATGTATTTAAATTTATAATTTTCATTATTTTATAGTGTTTTTTCTCAAAAAATCTAAAAAATACTCCTTCAGTTTTATCTAAATATAACTTTTATCTTGAGTTTTTTAAAATAAAAAAAAAATATGAGTAATGTTAAGAACACCAACTTAAATTTTAATTTTCATGTATTAACTAATTTAGCATATGAGTTGTCACTTTTATATTAATGAATGTTTAAAATATTATCATGTTAATTAATAAAAGAGATTACATCTATTAATAAAAATATCACAACTCACGTGTCACATCAATTGATACCGTAAAATTAAAATTTGAGTTGGAGTCCCTAGTATCTTAAAAATATTCCATGTGTTTTTAAAAATAACCAAAAAGTATAACTTTTTTAGTTTATTTTTTTAAAATGACTAAATTGTCCTTGAATATCTCATATACTATATAATATTCAAATATGTGTTGGGCTATACTAACTTTTAAACACCCCTATTATATTTTTTTCTTTTTTAAAAAAATTACAGCACCAATTTGGCTCTCTTAGAAAATTTACAGCACTAATTTAAATAAGTTTTTTTCGATTTTAATAAGAAAGTGAAATCTTAAAAAAAGAAGTAAATTTTTTGTCACGTAGAAGTATTGGGAAATACACTTTTCACCTCAAATTAGTAAATAAATTTGTCATATTTTGCCAAATAGAATTACATCTCTTTTTAATAAAAAAAAATCACTTTCTTGTTAAAATGCAAAAAACAAAAAATTGTCCAAAAAGGTGTGTTAATTTTCTTAAGATGTTTACTTAAAAAGAAAAAAGAATAAGAAAATTTAATAGGAGTGTTTGAAAGTTGATATAACTCAGCATAAATTTGGACAGTATATAAGATACTCAAGACAATTTGATCATTTTAAAAAAAGTAAACCTAAAAAGTTAAAAGAATAGATACTTTTTGTATGAGTTGAAAACACAATGAATACCTTTTGGATTTATAAAACTCGGGGATAAAAGTTATATTTAGACAAAATTGATGAAATATTTTTTAGATTTTCTCCCAATATCTATTATTCAGAGGTTAAATTTAAAATTATCCCCATTTTTTAAAATAAGTCATAGTTTAGTTTGCTGATTTGAATTTTGTTGATTTGAACTTGTTTTTATTTGAATAGAAAAATTCAAACTGTGTAGTTAAAATTATAGTTTGAATTAGTGTATGGATGTACAGTTAAAATTTAAATCTAAATAGAGAATAAAATTTAAATTTGTGTTTGGTAGGTGTAAAAAGAAGAGAGAATTGACACCTTTTTACTATTTAAAAATGGTTTGAACGGTTGAACTTCATAGGGATTTAAATTCTAAATTAGACAATTTAATTGAGTTCAAACAAAAAATATAATTCAGACTGAGTGTTTACTAAACACGAATTCAAACTAGTAAAACAAACTAGGCTAAATTATCTGAACGTTTTATATCGCAGTGAAACTCCTGTGTTTTTATCTAAATTAGGGGCCATTTTAATCAAAATATTTCACATCAACTATCAACAATGCTAACTCTAACTTTGTTAATTTTATGAATGAGGTTTTGCCAAGTGCCTGAGGCAAAACTCTGAAGATGAAAACATTCTAAAAAAAATTAAATGGGATGGATCATGTTAAATGTTATTTCTATTGTAATCTTCAGGTCAGCTTAATAATGTTTAGTTAGCACTCAATCTCATAACTTTTTCTATTTCAGATTTCTGACGTTAGGATTTATTAGTACTTATTTCAATTGTTATCTGTATTTTTGTACAGAAAAGTGTACGTATTGTTATGTACAAGTGTCTGTAGTTTAGTTTTGTATTTTATGTACTCATCACTGTTGATTGTATCTTATAAGTATGGGTTCATGGAATCCGTAGTCCTATCAATATGTGTAAATTAGTTTGTCATAATTAATTGAGTTAACAAACTAGAATTTTGAGTTTTATTGGGTTTATTACAATTCATGACTTTTTAATAAAGAAAAAATGGGCATTCAAGATGCTTATTAACTTTAAACGCTTAAATCTGTAGCATTCATGAAATTCATTGGGGAAAATCCGATAGTTTAGATTTGATTGAAAAAAAATTAGATTAATAACGGATTAAGATTTTTCTGATCTAATAGTTTTGGATTGAATTGCATATTGATCCCTACGCATTTCTTTCTATTAATTTATGTTTTGTTATTTATGACTTCAATATTGTTGTATCATCGTTATTATTTTAAGTAAATTATGTATATTTTAGGACTGAGATTGTGCGATGTACGACTTTAGACCAAATTATGACAAGACAAATAGAAATACTTCTTAAATACTTCAAGTTTTTATTTTGAGTTAGGCTATTTAAGATTTAAAAAAAGTGTTTTGCAAATTCTAAGTTAGTTAAATGATATAACTAAGTAGTTAAGTACGGCTACATAAGACGGGTTGTTACGGACTTAGAGGTGTTTATTTGATTGTATAAGAGAAACGTATTGGATAATAGTATATTAATATGATATTTGGTGTGATCATCACATTGTATAAATTAATACGAATAGTAAATTAATATGATTTATGTCGTATTATTAAATACGGCTCATTTTTGGCATATTGTATTGTATTTATAGCGGATCTATGATTCATGTCAGGGTTGGACGCCACTAGAGGTCGAGGTCAGGCCAACATAAAGTTATGCTAGAGCCTATAATTATTTAAAAATTGAGGGGGTATAATGCAAATTTATATTTTCTAAAAATTACATTTTGACCCTAATATTGTTTAAATTACATTTTGACCCTAATATTTTTTAAATTACATTTTGACCCTAAAACTTTTAAAGAATTATTTTTAAACTCCAAAATTTTTGAAAAATTACATTTTAACCCTAAACGTTTTAAAATTTTACATTTTGACCTCTTATATAATATGTTATGATACCAAATACAGTATTATATTATGATAATACAACACAATATAACACAATACAATACAAGCTACCAAACATAGCCTTATAGATTACTTTGCAATTTTAATAAAATATGTACTGTTCATCTTTAACTAGTTCGTTAAAACGGTATAAATTAAAAGCTCAAATGTCAGGGTGGATAAAATGCGAAAGTCATCCCTTTTAAGGGGCATTCTCAAAATTCCCTTATGTAACCAAAGTTGGGATAACAAAGTCCATAATTACATTCTAAAGAAACGCACAACATCGTTTTGAAGTTCGAATCTCCATACAATTATTTGTTCTTGAATTTTTCAGGTCTAAAACAATGGCATTACGAACTCAACCTACTTTGCCCCCTCCACCACGTAATTTCTTATTTTTTATGAAGTTCTCGTAAACATTTATCATGAAGAAAAGGGCACAGAATCTCTTAACATAACGAATTCATTACGAATTCCTTGGTCCAAGTGGCAAACATTAAAAGCTTGAAAATTTGTGTTTTCTAGACGCAGAAAAGTCAATTATCTGCATAAGAAAATTGGAACTTTTTTCCATGGAGTCCCTTTCGACCCCTAAAGAACTTGACCTTTGACAATTTCAAACAACTTACATGACCAGTCGGTTGGGGAGATATCATATATAAAATTGACTCAAACATAATTTGACTTTAAAAGTTAATTTATTAGGTTTTGAGTCATTCTAGGTACATAAATTATTTTACATCTTTATCCATTTTTTATGTGGGATAACACACACATGCACTTTTCTCAACAATCTCCTCCTTATGTGTGTATTTACCGAGCTCTCCTTTGAACCAAAATTTCTAGTAGCCTGCACATTCAAGTATCACACTCCAAATGAGAGTCAACTCGAGCATGGGAAAGAGAACCGAAATCATGCGAGTCCACCAAATGCTCCACCATCCGCACCTGCAACAGCAACCGAGTGTGATCGCTTGACCATGTACGAACCATCGTCTCTGACACCACTTGTTAGGACCATGGGCTCCACCATAAGAGATTGTGGTTCCAACTCAAAAGGTTAACCTAATGAGTGGAGTAGCGGACTCCCTTATAAACCCATTATAGCTCTCATTTGTTGCCAATGTGGGACTTTGTTCGCACCCTTAACAATTTCTCTTCAAACGAAGTACCACAACCCCTTTTGAACGATAACCATTCCATCTATTGGATCCTCCATCACACCTCTATTACGTTACATGGAGATCTCACTACCTTGTGCTCTTCATCGCATCTTTGCATTTCATGGTCTGCACAACAACCTCGAGGTCTCCACAACGCTTATGGCCCTGCGTTACCGTAGAGGGAAGGTCCACCTCAAGCGTTCACGAAATTTTTTCCACCATCGTGATTTGTGACCCAAGGCACATCAGATTCATCTCATGCATACACATAAGGGAGACACTACATGTGAAACTGACCCAACATACTTTAGGAGCCCAACTTGACCCAAAAGATTAACCTATTAAATCTTAAGTCTTTCTATGTATATAAACCATTTCATATCTTAATCCACTTTCTATATAAGACAACACAAACATACATTTTTCTCAATATGAAAATATATACTATAGTAAATTTATACTCTCCCCGAATGCTAATTTCAACAACTTAAATGACGATTTTATTAGTCCTGAGGTAGTTGGTGACAATCTTTTAAAGAGTTGAATCATTGTCCAGGTGTTCAAAATAAGTAGTTCATCAAACGAATGTATAAATTTTAGGAAAATTTTATAGTGTTTTCTCTTTTTTAGTTAAAATGTGCTCAAAAGTCAAATCAAATTAAAAAAATAATACAGATCTACCGGTCGATAAGAAAAAAGACTGTTATTCTTAAAAAGAGAGAATTCCAAAGAAATTCCCTATATATTTTTGTTAAACTCAAATCGAAAGGTATAAGATAATAAATAATCACAAAAAAATCATTAAGTACCGAGAAAAGAACCAACAAAGACTAGAGTTTCAAAGTAATAATCAGATTATAAAGTGACGATAACATGTGATAATTAACATCGTAGTACTAGTATTTTTCTTGGAAAAATACAAGAGATCCCCATGTGTTTAGTCAAAATGTGGCGTTCTCATTATATTTTAAGAAACACAATTTGTCACCTTTTCAAGAAAAAAAAAAATTTTTAGGACGCGTTTAGAACTCATTTTAAAATAATTTTATTTTTTTATGAAAATAAAAATATTTTTAATCTCAAATAAAAATTATTTTTAAAAATACGTTTGGTAATTTTATCAAGAAATTATTTTCAATATAAAAAAACTCATTAATGTCTGAAAACAAAAAATAAAAAACGTATAAAAGTCATTTTTTATTTCTCTCTCATTTTACACTAAACTAAAAAATCATTTTCATTTCTTTTTTTGTCTTTATTACACCAAACACTATTTTAAAAATATTTTTATTTTTTTTCTTGAAAAACGTAAAAAATAAAAATAAAATCAATTCTAAACATGGCATAAATTTAGCATCCCTGAAAATATATATAGAGTAAAACAGAACATTAACATCAAGGTAATTGAGGCTTTTGGTTTTATCTCTCTTTTTTTCCTTTCCAAGGAGGTGAAATAGTGGATGAACCATTTTGATAAATGGAATCCCAATAGCGGAAACATCGCCCATAGAAGCATTACTAAAGTATCATAAGCCTTAAAAAGTGAAGCAGATATAGAGCATTTAGACTGAACGGGAACTTAAATCAAATTCAGAACTGTTAAATACAGATGTTTTTACTAACTTCATAACTCAACCACAAAAAAAGTGGGAAAAAAAGGAAAGAACAGAAAAAAGAGACCTAAAATTTCATCCCACCATCTTATGAACAATTCCAACTTTCTAAAACATAAACAAAATGACGATCATGTACAAGTTATAATAGGGTCAGAAAACAAAAGAAAAAAGAAAGAAAATATCAAAGAATTGAAACTAACCCATATTCCACAAACCAGAAAAGTTCTCTCCAATCAAACTCAAAAGCCTCCTGAAAGTCCCCTTCTCTGTTTCAACTTGACCATCTTCACCACTAACTTCAACATTTCCTCTCAAATCCACCGATTCTTCATCAACCTTTTCTTCTTTAACAGAAATATCATCTCTCGGCTCATCACAAATTCTGCTGATATTTTTCTTCTTTCTCTGACTTCTCTTCATCTTCCCATCCTTGATCTTCTTTTTCTTAGCCAATTCCTCTTCATAAGCCTCGATAATATCATGTATAAGCTGACGATTCGGCGAAGAATTCCATCGTGCCCAGAATCTCGTGTAACACCCAAAACAGTCACAGTTAAACGGATGCAGTCCTGAATTAATATTATTATTGTTGTCGTTTTTGCCACCGAAATCACCATAATCTTCTTTGTTGGACCATGAAATGAGGTAGGCCAAAACCCGCTTATCTTCGTCGGAAAGCGCCGCGATTAAGGGCAGAATTGCATAAGGAAGCAAGGCCAAGTGATCTATGGAGGGTGAAGGAGACGAAGGGTGAACTTTCCCTCTCTTGTAGAGCTTCTTCACGGGCATTTTAATGGCTTCTGTTTTCTGGGATTGTTTTCTTTCTTCTTTCTTGGTTTTGGGTTTTGAATGAAATGGGAATATTGGGGTGCTTTGTTTGAATGTTGAAGGTGAAGAAGAAGCCTGTATTTTATTGCGGTTTGACATTTTTAAAGATGGAATTCTTCTTTTTATCTTGGTTTTGTCTTTTTTTGCATCATCAGTTTCGTGGAAAATGAGAAAGCTGGGAAAGAAAAATATATGTATTACTTGTGGGATGACGTCTTAATATTAGCTTTCGGGACTTGGGAGTATACTTTTCAAGCAAGTAAACACATAATTGGTGAGTTTATTATAGGAGATAATTATAAAATCTTTTCAAAGAATTTCCAATTCAAAGATGTGGAAAGTAAACATTTTTCTTGTAGCTTTCGGTGTTATTTTTCCGCTTAATCTCTTGGACAAATAGGACAAATACAATCTAGTGTCATAAATTTGTAGCGACAGAACGCAAATTCTAACTTTATATTTCTCATAAAACGGATATTCCTTGATTTTTGTATCTTTGGAGAGAGAAACAACGTCAATTTTGGTGGGAGGAAAAGCAATATCAAGCGTAATTTTTTCTATTCGTAGTTGGATTTTTTTTTTTTTTAATTGCGGTTCAAGTAACAATTTTTGTCACAAAACATAGCCCTGTTCACTTCGCTGATTCGAGTTTAGAATTTGAATTTTTCTACAGTAAAAAGCTCTCACAAACAATCACATCTAACTTTTTTGCTACAGTAAAAAGCTCTCACATAAAATCACATCTCAACTCGAATCAGCGAAGTGAACGAGGAATTTTGCACAAACTCCATTTGATTTTATTTATGCTTGAAAATATTTCGCATATGATTTTATGTGAGAGCTTTCTACTGTAGCAAAAAAGTTAGATGTGATTGTTTGTGAAAGCTTTTTACTGTAGAAAAACTCAATTTTATGTGAGAACTTTTGACTGTAGCAAAAAAGTTAGATGTGATTGTTTGTGAAAGTTTTTTACTGTAGAAAAACTCAATTTTATGTGAGAATTTTTGACTGTAGCAAAAAAGTTAGATGTGATTGTTTGTGAAAGCTTTTTACTGTAGAAAAACTCGAATTCTAAATTCGAATCAGCGAAGTGAACGGGTAATATCCAAGTAGATGTTATGTCGAATGGTGTATGACATATTGACATCTCTTATCTATAAACTAGTTGAAAGCACGAATTATGTGTCTGTATTCAATGTGTTATTTTTTTATAAAAAAAAATTAATTTATTTTTTATTGACTTAATAAGTAGAGCTGCACTTAAAATGAAAACAAAGTTTTTATATGAACAAATTAGAGAGTGGATTATTTATGGGGGTAGAAAAATAGTATTTAAGAGGTTACAAGGAAAAAAATATAAAGTTTTATAAGGGTCACATCTATGTAAGAGAATTATTTAAATTGAGATAAATTAAAGTAGTTTTATTTAAGCAATAAATTGTAGATGAGAGTGCAACCGAAAAGAAAATATAAGTAAATATAGATATATTTGAAATTACTTACTTGAATAATTCATAGTTAAAAATGTAAAATTAAAAATCCGTATAAAGAGAAGAAAAAATGGCTTTTATAAAGTAAGTATACACTAAAAAAATAATTAGTAATATAAACGAAAACTTTCCCTTGGAAAGAAGGCCGAAAATCGCAAAATATATATATATATATATATATTTTTTTTGCTAATCACTGAAAATCGCAACTTGAAGTATCAAGCATGGACAAAAATTCTGCCGAAATTTCAGTGGAAATTTCAGATTTTGAGGGTTCGGAAATTTTTTTCCACTATAACATCAATATCAGTAAAATATTAAAAATATCGGTAAATATTAGTCAAAATATCGATATCGGTTTGCATATAGAGTAATTGGGACATAATATCGAGAAATTTCGGTGATATCAAAAATGAAAATTTTAAAAGGTTTTTTTTTTAATTTGCTTTATAATATATGTTTTCTTGCATTATTTCTTTTGTCATCGAGTAAGGAAAGCAAGGAATATCAAGAATGCAAACCTCTGATAAAGATAATCTTTTCATGAGTTTACAATCGATAAATTTGGCTTTCAATTATTGCAGCTCTTCTAAGAGATTCCTAACATTCATTATCCATATAATCATAATTTTTATGATAGGTATGGAATTTTAAATTATCCTCATCGAAACATACCACTACCATCTCACGCAAATGATTGGAGAAATTCACAGTTTCTAATTCATAAAAATATAGTGGGAATGGATCAACAAACCTTCATGTGGCACGTTCATAACTATGATCGACATTATTCAAATAATATATCATAGTACCAATATTATTTGAATTAAGATCTGATCCCGACCATGTTTGAGCTTCATAAAATTTCCTTTTAGTATTAAGAAATGTAATATGTATGAAGATTTTATTTTTTTTAATGAAAAACTTGTTTATTTATGTATCTTTTAATGTTGATGCTATCAGAAAGTATTAAAAATATGTTCTAACGTAAATTTCTGTCATTTCCGTAAGTTTTTTTGATATTTTATCCAATATTTCTATAAAATTGGAGTACTGATATTTCTACTGATGCCGATATTTTCATTCTTGGTATCAAGGTATTTTCTTACGATTTTATGTTCTTTTTGTGTTCACAATCACAAACACTGTGGGACTCCAGCTACTCACTAGAGTGACTAGGACTAGTGCTGAAAATTTGGACCGGGCTAGACGGGCCGGCCTGAAGCCCGTTACTGTGGGCCCGGGTCTGGGCCCGGCCCGAATCCGTACAAGTCCGAGCCCGGCCCAGCCCTAGTCTAGGGCCGGGCTGGGCCATAATTTCAGGCCCGCAGGCGGCCCAAGCCTGGCCCAGAGAGCCCGAATGGCCCGAAATGGCCCAAAGTCCTAATTTTTATTTTTTTTGTTTTTGGCCCAACGGTAATATTACCGCTGAAGACAGAAGGACTTTGTTGACTCCAGAAATGGTTGAGGTGCTAATATGTCTAAAAGATTGGGAAAATGCTTCTTTGCGAATGTAACACACAGCCGAAGACAAATATTTAATCGATTAATTTCAAAACTTATACATTGATGATGACGCTTCTGATGCCGGGAGTAGTGTAGCAGGCAGTTAGATATTTTTGTTTCTTAAGTATATATAAATTATAACTATGAAAATAATACTGCACTCTTTTTTGCTTACCAAGGTTTTATCCCAATGGATTTTTCTTAGTAAGATTTTTAATGGGGCAGTTATAATTACATAAATAAAGTCTTATTCCATTAAAATTTTACAATATTCACTAGTATTATAAATTTCACTATCTTTTTTAAAATTTGTTATAAATCATGCTTGGACCGAGCCGGGCCGGCCCGAAATAGCCCGGCCCTAGGCCCGTCGGGCCTTAGGGCCAGGCTGGGCCTATAGAAAGTTTTTTAGGGCCGGTCCGGCCCGGCTTGATTAAAACTCCAGGCCGGGTCGGGCCGATTAAAACTTCGGGCCGGGCCGGCATGGCCCGAACTACCCTTTCGGGCCGGGCCGGGCCGGGAGGCCCGAATTTTCAGCTCTAATTGAGACTATGGGAGGTAGGTGATGCCTTAAGTTTCTTTTTTTTTTGTTTAATTAACTGAAAATGAGACTGTAGCAAAGTTGTGTTCTTTTTACAATTTAAGTCACAACTAAAATTTTTTTATATGAAGGAAAATACTATAATAAAGAGGTTAATTTGAATTTTATGAGAGAAAACATTATAATAAAAGAATTTGAGTTGTGATCTGAGTCGTGGAGAACAAGGATACATTTAGAAGACATGCAAAATATTCAGGCGTTAATCTAATTTCCCTATTTGTAATTATTGCCCAACTATTTATACAAAATCTACAACGAGATTGCAGAATAATAATAATAATAAAATGATGTGAAAAAATGTCGTGCATTTCAATTTGAGAAATTTTTATGGTAGCAACTGTTATTTTTTCACTATGTGTACAGCTCGAAATTTTTATAGTTAGATTAATTCTTCAACGCTTAGATGCTCCCGTTCCTAAATTAGTCCATTGAAAAAGTAATATACAATAGTTAAAACAACAGGACAATGAAAATGAACAATTCTTATTGTGAAAATTTAAATTCAAATCACAACTTAAACTTTTTATTTGAGAGAAAACACTATAATAAGATAATTGCATTTGAATTTTTGTAAAAAAAAAAATACTGTAAAAAAAAAATTTGAGTGGTAAAAAGAACGAGGGCACAATTCAACTTTAAGCATATTTACTTGACGTCTGAAATTGCTTTTAAACTGTTTAGTATTTCGTTTGGCCGATTGTTCCTAGAAAAAATGTTCATACGAGGATGTGGTCCAAAATGCATCATTTCATAATTCTCTTATTATGCATTGACAAGTCCAAAAAGAGTTGCACAAACGTGGCCACTGGTGTGTAGATTATTATTTCGATATCAATAGTTTGGAAATTTCAAAGAAGGACGCATCCTTTTATCTTATATGATGAAACAAGCATTTCATTAAGAGATAAGGGACAAATTACTCCATGTCAAATGTAAAATCCCATTAAGAAAGCTCTAGAATGTTGGAAATCATGCTCAACGTGCATCAATCTAGTTGAAAGTCAAAATTTCTCTCTGGAATTTTTATTTTCTGAATTCATGAATTGTGCTGCTAGACAAGAGATTTTTGGCTGAAATTTGGTTCCAAATTTATGTGATGCATTAATATGAGAGTTTCTCTACCGAGCCGTAAGGTCACATTCTAATAATTAGATACGGTTAAAATTACGTTAGATTAAAAAAATATAAAAAAATATATATCACAATATAGATTTTTTAGGGGTTGTTCTTTTGCAACGAAATTCAAAAAAAGTTTGAACTCAAATTACAATTTTATTCAAGTTCATATTTTTTTTGTAAAATTTGAGTTTGAGCTCGAGTTTGGGGTTAAACTCAGAGTCCCCGTTCATTTCGCTGATTCGAGT